ATGTTTAAAAAATGTTTAAGGGGTTAACAAGTTAGACTCTGGAAGTAAGGACAAAGAGAAGAGGGGCTAACTCCCAAGTTTCTAGCTTAGAAAACTAAACAGATAGTGGTACAGTTCCTCAAGATAAGGAATATAGAAGAGAACTGGGTTTGGGAGAGTAGACGATTAATTTTGTACACGTTTAGGGTATTGCCTGTGGGACATCCAAGTGGAAATGTCAAAGATGCAGAAAGAAAGACGAGCCTGAAACCTAACGGAGATAGAAAACCAGTACTCAGGGGTGTGCTAGTGATAGCCGGAGCTGGGGTCTGGATGAGATCACCAGAGAGAGAGTGAAGGGTGGGAGGATGGAGGGTTACCAGCCTCGGGGAGCACTAGCATGTGAGGGTCAGCGAAAGGATGGAGAGCCAGCCAAGGAAACCAAGTAGAAGTTGTCTGTGAACTTAACAGGAGAGCAGTTTTCAGGTGAAAGGACTCCCCATCTTCCCCAAGTGTCTTTGACATAAGCTCCAGCTTCATAAGAGCAGCCATGAAGATCTTCAGAGCTTGAGGTCTCTGCTCTAGAATCATGCTGAAACCAGACAAGGGATGAAAATACTACCTAAAACTAGGCAGGACACAAAGGGCATGGATGCATTCAGGATGCTGAGTCAAATCAATGTGAATTATAGTGGTAGAACTAGAACTATATAAAAGAAATTGGTCATATGGAACTCTGCTCATTGTTGTGGCAACTTGGATGGGAGGGGAGTCTGGGGGAGAACAGATACATATATGGGTATGGCTGAGTCCCTTTGCTGCTCACCTGAAACTACCACAACATTGTTAACCAGCTATACCCCAATACAAAATAAAAAGTTGATTATCAAGCATGGCAGAAAAGCCTTTGTACACATATTTATAAATAATATGTACAATATATATATTTTAGAAAACATGAATGTTTGCCTAACTAAAAAAATTTATGACATTTGATTCCACTTGTTTGACTTAGTATGAATAGAATGGTAGATTTCTAATTTAAAAAACAGATATGCAACAAGCAACAAAGGTTTACTGTATAGCTCAGAGAGCTATAGTCCTATAATGGAAAATAATTTCAAAAATAATATATGTGTATATGTATAACTAAATCTCCTTGCTGTGTACCTGAAACATTGTAAGTCAACTCTACTTCAATAAAATATATATATTAAGAAAATAATTTTTTAAAGAAGTGGGAAAAAATAAATAAAAAGTAAAAAAAAAAAGAAATTGGTTAAGGTATTACATGGAACAGATTATTTAAGTCTGACAAGGCATTCAGAAAGCAGTCATGGGAGCAACTGCTATGCTGAATATTCTCCTCTGAAGACAGAGAGGAAGGACTGCAAAATCTCTCTCTCTGAGAAGCCTCCCCTGCCTGAGGAAGCCGGCTTCACGCAGCTGCCCAGGTTTGGGAGCCCGGGGCTGCTTCCCAGCCAGGGGCTGCCAGCTGCAGAGGGCGGGGCTCTATTTCGGGCTGCCTGTTGTCCCTGAGCCGGCCGCCTCTGGTTTGAGCAGCAGGCAGCCCCAGTGACTCACACGCCCATGCAAACCGCCTGTGGCTCGTGGCATGGCCTCGGAATGCCAGCCTTAGGCCAGCTCCCTCCTCACCCCATTACTCTGGGATAAATAAATAAAGAGCACGCCAGCAGCCACACGGCCTGATGGCAACCAGATGAAGAGAGGGAGGCACCGACAGAGCCAGGAGAAGGAACTCCCTCCAGTGGACCCTGCTGAGCGAGGGCCATGCCAGCCCACTCATCCTAAACTTCCTCCTCAACACCGTTCTGACTGGCGTGTAGTCACAGCCCCCAGATCCTTGATGGGTCTAACCATTCCTAAAGGGGCCTCTCAGCCCCTCGTCCTAGGAAATGCTCTATGTGGGGATGTTGCCCTCTGCGAGAACAGGGCCAGCCCTGACCTGAATGGGCATTTCCAGGATTCCTCCTCTAGTTAGGGCACCATTGATTGGCCCCTTTGGGGTCCCTGGAAATGAAAATCAGGCTCTTAAGGGAAGAGGAAAAACAAAAGGTCTAAATATGGAGAGGTAACCCCTGTTCAATCCTTACATATTTTTCCTGGCCTTAGTGTCCTAGAAACCTCCCATCCACTGCCCCCTGCACCCTATCTCGATGGCCTCTTGCCTAGCAACAGTCCCAGTGAGAACCAGGAAAACAGACCCCCAGGCACTGACCGCACAGCCCTCTGACATCGGCCCTGGGCCCCTGCACCTTCATCCCAAGCTCTCTGTCCCCAGTTTGTTTATCTTCCTATGTTGCTTATTTTGATGGCACATCCTTTCAGCTCAGTCTTGGGTGACCCTATGACCCTTCTGTGTCCTGTTTGTAGGACCCCAGGCAAGCAGAGTTGCTGAAAAGATGCAGTGGCCAGAAGAAATGCTGCAGTCCTGGGAAGAAATCTTTCAGTTCTAGCAGCTCTGTAGGACATTCTGAGGACAGTGCAGTGATCCCAGAGGTCACAAGAATTCTACATTATTCCAGTCCTTGACTCTCTAATTTGTGTGCACAACAAGTAAAAGTATGAGTCAAGAAGTGTGGATAGTCCTAAACCTGCAGCTACCACCATATGACCTTAGGCAAGTCACTTAACCTTTCTGAGGCCCAATTTCTTTTAGTTTATTTATCTATTTATTTGGCTGTGTCAGGTCTTAGTTGCAACATGCTCTATGGAATGTGGGATCTCTGTTCTCCAACCAGAGATCGAACCTGCATCCCCTGCATTGTGAGGCAGATTCTTAACCACTGGAGCACCAGGAAAGTCTCTGAGGCCCAATTTCTTAAACAATGAAATGGAAATCTACTATCTATCTCAGATCCTTTCCAGATATAATAAAACTCTACAAGTCTATGCAGTTTGGATGTGATCCACCCAGAATCTAGAGGACCAGTATTCCTGAAGCAGTTGGTTCCAAAACACCAATCTCCTTCCTGGGCTAACACCTGTTTTCTACATGATTTCTCATTCAGTTCCACAGTGTTCCCCCCACCCCGATAGTGTGAAATGAACCTCCAATTTTACAAATGAGAAAACAGAGGCCCTGAGAGAAGTGATTTATCAAAGCCACAAAATAAATCAGAAGAAAAACTGAAGATCCCAAATATGAGTCTAACAAGCAACACTGGATCCACAGCCCACACAGCCACAATTTTCATAAAATCCCTCTAGCATAGGTTTATCAACATATTCACCCACAAACTCATCAAGAGCCTATTACTTCCAGGCACTATGTTTGGTGCTGGGAACATGGAAACACATTTAACATGGTTTTTGCCCTCAAAGAGTCCATAGCTCAGTGGAAAAAGACATACTCTTCTAAGCATACAAACAGCATCATTATGAAGCTATAACTGCTAAAAACTAGAGGCATGAACCCAGGCACTATCATCTCAGGAAAGGATTATCTTTACAAGGACAATCTGTAAAGGTCTCCCAAAGAAGTTGAAGCTGACACTTGAAAGATTAAAAGAAGTTCACAAGGGAGAAAAGACCAGGGCATTGGGCATTCTAGATAAAGGAACAATGTGTGCAGAGACACAAAGGCGAGAGAAAACAGCATTTTTGGCAATTCAAAGCCATTCTATATGGCTGACGCATAAAATATACAGAAAAAAAATGCTGAGAAACCAAGCTGAGTAGGTATGCAGGCACTAGATAGGAAGGGACCTCCCTGATGAGCTAAGAATAAGCCTAACATTGTTTGACTAAAAGGCTGAGGCATGGAACAAGTATGCCATACCAGCCTACATTAACCTCGTTAATACCTAAACCTATAGACAGGAGAAGCTATCTGAAAGAAAAATGGCCTAGGAAATCTCTCTGTCCCAAGTTTTGGTTTAAAGGTCTCTTTTTCCCCATGAATACCTAAAACCTGTTCTGCTTCAAGACTTAGCAACGCACCTCTCCTCCTCCAGAATTACAACCACTTTAGCAGAGGGGCCCAAGGCTCCGTTCACACGTTTGGTTCTCACTGTCAAGACCTCAAGCATCATGCAGCTACTGCTCAGTCAACAGACAGAGGCAGGACAGAAGGATCCGAATCAAGAACACCTGCCTGTTGCCCAGCCCTGTGAAAAGCACGAATTTCAGGTTCAAAAGAATTATGAGTCATAGTCCCTGCCCACGAGGAGCTGACAAATTAGCCTAGAAGACAAGACAGAAAGATGAATAATCCATACATATGATAAATATTATAACAGCACTATTTACTCACACAATAAGGTACCAACCTGGGTAACATGTATAATTAGAAAATAGTGCAATAATACTAGGGTACTAACTGTACAACCAACAACTCCCAGAAGAGTTAGAGAAAAAGATCAATATTGACTGGTATTATCAAAGGTCACTATTATTAATATTCCCCCTGCTTGGCATTTAATAGATGTTTCTTTTGGCCAAGCTCAATCCTTAGAAGGGAAACCTAGGAAGGAGCTTCTGACAGGCCACAATTATCTACTCCCCATTCATTCCCTTGCCAGTCCCCTTGCATAAACACTGTGATTTTCCACAGCCTACTGCGCCCACAAGACCGTCCCCAAATGGTAGCCCTGCGCTTTACCTTCCCCTACTGCAGGATGTACAAGGGGACAAGTAATAATGACTAGCCCCTCGCTCCACAATCCAGACCTGGGATCAGATCTCAACAAGCAAAAATTTAGCAACTGGTCAACCAAGCTTTCCAAGAGAATTCCAAATAAAATGCCTACATACTACAGCAGAGACATTTTACAAATGTTAATCAGCCCACTTCTACCTTTTACATCTTTTACCCTATTTCTCCCCAGCTTCTCCATCTTAAGCTTTTCAGACTTTCTATAGGTGACTTTTCTAGAAAATAGATTTTTCAATCATGCAATCAAACCCAATACCCAAAACGCAAGTCACCACTCAGGCACCCGGAAAGAGGAAGTAAAGTGAAGTCTGCACAAGGAGAAAGGAAATAATGAACACTTTACCTCCACCATAAATCGTTTCAAGAAGGAATTCTCTTCAAATGGCTCGGTCTTCAACCGATCTGTAACAAGAAGGGAGACAGAAAGGAAATATGAGTCTTAGAACGAGCTCCCTACCTGTGAGATGGAAAGGAAACAGAGCCTAGTACTTCTTGGGGAAAAGGATAAAGATGCAACATCCAGAGACACCAATCCAGTGGGAGAAGAGCCCAAGCAGGAGGAGGAAAGCGTGATTAGCCATGACAACAGGTTCAGTGGCAGCACGTGCTCTCAAAGGTCTTCCCACCGCAAAGACAGATTGGATTGAATTTTTAATCTGAAGTTGGAGCCATGCAGCCTTCTAAAGCCCCAAGTCATGTTTGCCCTCATGCAATTTTGTATAGCTGTTGGCCCCTTTCCAGAGTCTTTCCTGGCCACTGCCTAGGGCATGTCTGACTCAGTTATAGCATCTCTTAGACACCTGGGCCCCAGCCAGATACTTGAAGCAAAAGAAGTGTCATCTAATCTCCAGTTCCTGGTTAGCACCCAGCACCCAGGGAAGCACCTCCCTAATACAAATGAGTCTCCCCCTTTCCAAAGGCCCTTCAACCACTCCCGATCCAATTCCAAAAGAATGTGCTGGGCTTCCCTGGTGGCTCAGTAGTAAAGAATCTGCCTGTCAATGCAGGAGACACAGGTTTGATCCCTGATCTGGAAATATCCCACATGCCACAGAACAACTAAGCCCGTGTGCCACAACTACTGCCTGCGCTCCAGAGCCCAGGAGCCACAATTATTAAAGCCCATGCGCCCCAGAGCCTGTGCTCCTCAGCGAGAAGCCACTGCAATGAGAAGCACATGCACCACAACTAGAGAATAGTCCCCACTTGCTGCAACTAGTGAGTAGCCCACACAGCAACAAAGATCCAGCACAGCCAAAAATAAATAAATAAAATTATTTAAAACAAACAAATGAAAAACCCCAAATGATGTCTAAAAGAATGTCCTCTCACCTCGGCTGAGTGTGGCCCCACTCTCCTGGTAGTCCTGGATCTCTAGATCTTTCATATGAAGCAACGTTGTTAGGTCCCTCACCTGGCACTGCAATGCCAGACTCATGCCCATCAGAGGACGAATCAAATGTTGGGAGACCTTCCATGGAAGAGATACTAATTAGTCAACAGATTCACATTAAGTACTCCTTAATATAAGGTATTAGGAAAAAATGCTAAAAAACAAACGTTTTCACAGGAATTTATATTTTCACAAGCAAGCAACATGTTTACATGAATACAAACACAGATATAATAATTTAACAAGTATGTGAAAGAGGTCCAGGGATTTTCTTTGTGGCACAGATAAGAGGATGGGAAGAATAAACGAGAGCACACATGCATAGATAACCTCGTGATGTAAAGAGAAGGCTGTGATACAGGTGATAGAAGGTAAGCATGGACTCAACTCTCGGGAAAAGTTTAGAGACAAAAAAAGAACATCCAGGTAAACTTCAAGAAAGTGAGTGCAGCTAAAACAGAGTATTCTGGCTGGAGTGTAACAGAAGACAAACAACAGCAGAAAGCAGAGAACTTTGAAAGTCAAATCAGACCCAGACACTAATTATGAACCATTTCAGGGCTGATCAGTTCAGTTCAGTCACTCAGTCATGTCCAACTCTTTGCAACCTCATGGACTGCAGCATGCTAGGCTTCCCTGTTCATCAACAACTCCCGGAGTTTGCTCAAGCTCATGTCCATTGAGTTGGTGATGCCATCCAACCATCTCATCCTCTGTCATCCCCTTCTCCTCCTGCCTTCAATCTTTCCCAGCATCAGGGTCAGTTCTTCGGATCAGGTGGCCAAAGTATTGGAGTTTCAGCTTTAGCATCAGTCCTTCCAATGATTATTCAGGATTGATTTCCTTTAGCATGGACTGGTTTGATCTTCTTGCAGTCCAAGGGACTCTCCAGAGTCTTCTCCAACACCACAGTTCAAAAGCATCAGTTCTTTGGCACTCAGTTTTCTTTATGGTCCAACTCTCACATTCACACATGACTACTGGAAAAACCATAGCTTTGACTAGACAAACCTTTGTCAGCAAAGTAATGTCTCTCCTTTTTAATATGCTATCTAGGTTGGTCATAGTTTTTCTTCCAAGGAGCAAGCATCTTTTAATTTCATGACTGCAGTCACCATCTGCAGTGATTTTGGAGCACAAGAAAATAAGGTCTATTACTGTTTCCATTGTTTCCCCATCTATTTGTCATGAAGTGATGGGACTGGATGCCATGATCTTAGCTTTTTGAATGCTCAGGGCTGATAACAGCCCACAATGAGGCCAGAGTTTCAATCTGTCCTCACAAATGCAGCAAAGTCTAAAATCACTGTTATAGTTGAAGCAAGCCAGTCCGAAAGACCAGCCTAGGAAGGAATAAGCCAGCCCTCCATACAGCTGCTCTTAACCAGAGGTAAAGAAGGATGCAAGCATGGCCATATGGCAATGCAGCTAGGGTGATGCTTATATGATAATGCATAGTTATACAGAATAACTATTCCATTCACCTACACATGGTATACAATAACCAGTCCAAAAAAAAAAAAAAAGCTAAATTCGATCATTTATGCCTGGGAAGTAATATGACAGTTCCTTTTCTTTCCCTCAAGGAGAATTGTTTCTTTTAAGAGGCACTAAGAAGAAATGCCCTAGATCAGAGGTCAGCAAATTTTTTTCTGTAAGGGCAAGATGGTCAATATTTTCAGCTCTGTGGCCCATACAGTCCCTGCCACAATACTCAGCTCGGCTGTTGTAGCAAGAAAACCACCATAGACAACATGTAATAAATGGGGGTGGCTGGGTTCCAATGTAACTTTACAAAAACAAGCAGCACGCCAGGTTTGGCCTGCTGACCACAGTATGCCAATCCCTGCCCTAGACCTGAACAGGAGAACTTTTAGATAAGATAGCCCACACAGGCCTGAAGTGAAGAAAAAGTACTGAAGTGGCAAATAAAATGTACAAGCCAGACTCATTTGGACCAGGATCAGAAGTCTGAATTCTTCAGACTCTTCTGTGTGCATTTCCATTAATTTTCTAGAAAAACGTATTACTAAAGACTTCAAGCGTATCACAGTTCAAACTGAGAGGAAGAGATCTTTCACTACAGACAGATTAGAAGAGAAGACACTGGGTGTGTGATACTGTGGGGGAGGTTAGGGGCTAACGGCAACAGCTTTTGTATCAGCACCATGATCCAAGAAATGCAGGGGTAACAGTGCAGCGTGGGAGGCCAGTAGTCAAGTCTAGCCACAGAGACCAGTCCCTGCTTTCTGTCCCAGAGCACACCCCAACCAAGTACTATCTCCCAGCTCAGTCCTTAGTATGAACTTAAACCTCCAGGCAGTACTGTTCAGAGTGTGGCAGAAGTCCTGCTTTTGGCAAATGTATCTGTTCCAGACTCAACCCTCTTTCCTAGGAATTGTTTTAAGTTTGGACACTTTCAAGGGAGACCAGGAGGAAAAAAAGGTGAATACTCATCTGAAAGCAAGTCAATGGTTGGTGAGCTGAATTGAAAATAACTGCCACTGCTAACTGAATGGCATCACCATCTATTTGGTAGCAGCACTCAAATAATAGAAACTCCTAAAGTTAATAACAAACCTTTCTCTGGGAGTTACTTTCACAGCAATTCCTTTGAGTGGTAGTAAATAAAACAGCATGAAACGTGATGAGAAACAGCTTTTAATCAATGCCATGTCTAATTAAATGTGATTATTTCAATTATTGATAGGACTCCAATGTCTATATAGCATTTTTAAAAGTTTTTTATCATTGAGTATTTCAGCTTCTGAAATAATTTCACAGAGTTGGGTTACATCACTCTGAATCATTGGAGCATAACTCATTTCGACTTTAGCTGAACCCTGTCTTAGATCAATTAATTAGAATAAGACATTGTGGCTGAAGCAATAGATTTCAAAGCAAATTCACAGATACTACAAGGAAAAATGCTGAAGTGCTATAGGAGGCCAAGGACACTCTTTCCCCTTCATCTACGGACAGCAACATATGGAAAGATGCAGTTCAATAAGTCAATTCAATAAATACCTACCGGGTGTCGAATATGTGCTCTGACCCTGAGAGGCCTCTGCCCTTACAGAGCTCCCAACAGCTAAGGAAGTCAGGAAGTGTGGTGGATATAGAAGCAGGAGTCGCCAATCTTGTCTAGAGGAAAAGCTATTTATAATTTTCCCCAACGTCTTCAGATTTCCCATAGAAATGTTCATGAGTCAGAAGAGCAGGACTAGCAGTTATCAATCCCAAGATGAAACACAGCATGCTTGAATTTAATGAAAAAGGCAGTAGACTGGGAATCAGATTAACATGCTAGCCCTGGTTCTAACTACACCTGGATGTGAAAATGACTTCACCCCCAAGTACTCTCATGGTCCCTGTCTTTTTTAAAAAGAAAAATTACGGAATTGGAATATTTGCTCTCATAGGTCCACTTTAATGCTAAGGCCAAGTAATATGACACATATTCCCTTATCTAATACTCATAACTCTGCAGTAAGGTCATGATTGTTATCTTCATTTACAGATGAAGGGACTGAGTCTCATAAAAATTTAGTAACTTATCCAAGCTGATACAAGCAGTCAAAGTGGTGGAGTTAAGTTACAAGTTCAGGTCTGCTGGTTCCAAACCATGTGCTCCTTCCACTACGAAAAAGAAAAAAAAAAACCTTTGGATGTGACTCCTGGGAATCATAAAATTGCCAAAGAGGTGTCAAATTTGAAACTCAAAATATGGAATATCAAGAATTACATTAGGGCTTCCCTGGTGGCTCAGCGGTAAAGAATCCTGCCAATTCAGGAGAAATGGGTTCCATCCCTGATCCAGGAAGATCCAAGGTATCCTTGGAGCAACTACCCATGTGCCACAACTACTAAGCCTGTGCTCTAGAGCCCGCGAGCCACAACTCCTGAGCCCACGTGCTACAACTACTGAAGCGATAATGCTCTAGAGACCGTGTTCCGCAATAAGAGAAGCCCATGCACCGCAACTAGAGAGAAGCCCCGGCTCACCGCAACTACAGAAAAGCCGGCAGAGCGACAAAGACCCAACGTGGCCAAAAACAAAGAAATAAAATTATTTACAAAAAAGAATTACACTGGGGAAAAAGATAGCAACAACAAAAAAGAATTAGATTAGATAATAGAAACACTGAACAGTGGGAAGGAGTGGGTGATGAAGAGAGGTTGGCCAGAAGTGGAAACGGGGTCTGGGTTAGAAAGCTTTATATATCCCATAATATCTTGCAGAGATAGGAAAACTATTATCAACACATTACTAACGTGAATACACCATGTGGCAGAGGAGGTGGGGAAGCTCCCTGTATGACGAGGAGGAGTTAGACTGCATAATCTCTCCAGAAGACAAGACGGCATTATGTTAGCGATTTATTAAACATGCAAATATTCCTTGATTTAGTTATTCCACTTCTATGAATTTACTCACACATTTACACATAGAAAAAGTAAATACAAGGGTGTTTATTACATACAACAACAAAAGAATGGAAACAGTTTAAGTGTCTACTGGCAGCAGATCAACTAAATACATGTTGATATATTCATTCATCAAAATGCTATGTGGCCATTAAAAAAATATTAAGGCAGATCTTCTAAATGTATTACTGTGAATGATTTCCAAGTTCTAAAAGTAAGTGAAAAAAGCAAGGAACTGGACACTATGAACAGCATGTTGACATTTGTGAAAATACATACATATCCAAAGATATGTATCTGACTGTATGAGTATATTCATATATATACATATATTCATATATAAGTGCATAGATACATACACACAAACATATACGTAGCTTTCCTTAAGAATTCACAAGTACGTGATAGCAGTAGTTGTTTTAGAAAAGGAAAATGAGGGACTGGGAAGGGAATAGAAAGTAGACCGATTTCTTAACAACATACCCTTAAATGCCATTTGAAGTGTTTGCCTTTGGCATGAGTTACTCATTCAAAAAGAATTAAATAAGAACTATGACAAGAATGAGTAACAAACAAAAATTATGACTGTGTGACCTCACAGACACATACAAGCCTGAAATAGAATCCACCTACATCCTCGCCTGTGTCCACTGGTTCTAAATTTTCCCTTATAAAGCTTTCTCAGGTACAGGGGTTTCCCTGAGATGGCATTCTTCTTCTTTGAATAATATATCTTGAAGCATAATTATTAATAAACTGCTTTCCTCATGGCCAACCAAGACTCATTCGACTCTAAATACTGCTGCCTCTTTTTAAACTGCCGCTCTCCAACTAGAGGGATTTGCCTAGGAGAGCTAAGTGTTCTTAACATATTACTTTCCATTATACTATCATTATACAAGTATCCCTTACTGTATTCTGTTGAAAGAAATAACTATTAGAGCTCATAAGCTTCCAACGAGAACTGCCTCTCAGGTCTCACTTGTCTGAATTTCCAGGGCTGTGTAGCACAAAATAAAAGCAGCTATTTCGAGGGCTTCCCCAAGGTTGCTGTAATGTTTTGGCGCCACAAGCATTATTGAGGGAACAGTGCCCCCTGGTGTTACTCAGAAAAAGGTACAGGGGTTTTGAACAAAAACATAAATTCTATCTAAAGCAAGGTGGAAATTTTCATAAGCTCAACTAAAATCAACAAATGTGAGTGATTATTACCTGTTAAGCACTGTCAATGAGCCTTAAAAATACAGAGCTTAATGTTCAGTGGTTCTCCAAACACTCAATTCTAGCTTGGGTCAAAAATACCAGATCAAAAACAGAACAGTTTATTGAAAAGCACTTTGTCCCATCACCCTACTGATGCCAAAGCATCACAGCACCTCTGGGAGACTAAAGAAGGAAGGTAGGACATGATGCCCACTTGTCTTCAGTTCTCTCTGCTGATAAACTACAACCTTCAAACACCCACAGAAGATCCTGTCCTCTAATGCTGAAACAAGCTCTGCTTATATAGAAGGGTAGAAAGACTAGTAGAAGTAATTCCTTTAAACTAGTTCTTCACTCTCAACTAACTAATCACTAATAAAAGTTCTTGGGGAGACGTCCCTGGCCGTACAGTGGTTAAGACTCCATGCTGCCAATGTACGTGGGTTCAATCCATGGTCGTGGAACTAAGAACCCACATGCTGTACAGTGCAGTCAAAAGATAAAAATAAATAAATAAAAGCTCTTGGGACCTAGAGAGCTACAGGTGAGCAGAGGACATTATCTCCAAAGTCCCTGAAAATGGGTTCATGAATCAGACCTAGCTGGAAGTCAAATTCCAGCTGATTCATTCATAAACTGGATGACTTTGGACAAATTACCTTGAATCTCAGCTTGCTACTCTGAAAAATGTCAATAATAATACTTACCTTGCAGAACAGTTGTGAGGATTAAAAGGCAAGATAACGTTCAGAAAGGTACTCACCACTGGTAAATACCCTACCCTACTATCAGAGTGATCTTAATAAATCACAAATTGGATCAGGTTACTGCTAGTGCTAAGTCACTTCAGTCGTGTCCGACTCTGTGCGACCCCATCCCTGGGATTCTCCAGGCAAGAACACTGGAGTGGGTTGCCATTTCCTTCTCCAATGCATAAAAGTGAAACATGTAAGTGAAGTTGCTCAGCCATGTCTGACTCTTCGTGACCCCATGGACTGCAGCCTACCAGGTTCCTCCGTCCATGGGATTTTCCAGGCAAGAGTACTGGAGTGGGGTGCCATTGCCTTCTCCTTGGATCAGGTTAAACCCCTGCTTAAAGTTTTTCAATGAATCCCTGTTGCCTTTGAGATCAAATCCAAACTCATTAGAATCCTTCAAGATCTGGCCATTGTTTACCTCTTCTCTCACGACTTCCTACAGTCATGAAGTTCCCCCACTTGCCCCACACTTACACACCTCCACTCCTCTCAAAATGCACTCTTGCCTAGAATGATTTTTTCATTTTCTCCAATTAGTTCTTGCTCATCTTCAAAACTCAGCTCAGAAGCTCTCTTCAAAAATGCGTTCCAGATTTCTCAGTCATCCTGGGTTTATCTTGATCAACGTATATACCATCCTTTATCCTGCTTTCTGTCTGTCTTCTCATTAGATTATGAATCCAGAAATAGGCTGAAGTAAAGTGAAGTGAAGTCACATAGTTCTGTCCGACTCTTTGCAACCCCATGGACTGTAGCCTACCAGGCTCCTCCATCCATGGGATTTTCCAGGCAAGAGTACTGGAGTGGGTTGCCATTTCCTTCTCCAAGGGATCTATTGAACCCAGGTCTCCTGCACTGTAGGCAGACGCTTTACTGTCTGAGCCACCAATAGGCTATATTGTTTTAAATCTGAACACCCAACAATTAGTCCACAGTAGATGCTTAATAAATGTTCAATAAATCAAGTAATGACTAAAGATACCCAGTCAAGCATGTAGACCCAAACTCTGCTTCTTTTGTAAGGAAAAGATATACAGGTCAAGAAACCTTTATGCCTTCTTTCCAGTTAAGAAACGTTTTCTAATTGGAGAATTTCAAATGGGGTTTACAAAGAAAAAAAAATAGTACCAAAAGCTTCAGATGAGAAGCTTTGAGAAGAAGGAGCAGCTGCACCCCTTTCCCTACCCCATGTTCAAATTGCACTTACCAGCGAAGGACTAGCTAGGATGCAGTGGAAATTCCAATAGAATGGGAGGCCAGAAAGCTCACTCCGCACCCGTAGTATCAGCGCCTCTGCCACATGATCACAGGAGAACGTAGCCGTGCCAGGGCAAGAAGCATCCTTCAACAACAGGCGAAGCAGATCATCCAAATGACAAAGAAAAGCCTCAGGAGGAGCAGTCAGGCGCTTGTTCAGCTCCTAAAAAGACAGCAGGGGTTGTACAGAGTAAGAGTGCTAAAAGGAAACTGACTCCCTTGTACACGCATGCTAAGTCACTTCGGTCATGTCCGACTCTTTGTGACCCCGCCAGGCTCCTCTGTCCATGGGATTTCCCAGGCAAGAATACTGGAGTGGGTTGCCTTGCCTTCCTCCAGGGGGCCTTCCCAACTCAGGGATTGAACCCAAGTCTCTTGTCTCCTGCATTGGCAGGCAGGTTCTTTACCACTAGCACCACCTGGGACTCTCATAGGTAACAGCAAAGGAAAGCTCTGGTTAACAGGAAGACAGTGGGCAGGGGACTTCCCTGGTGGTCTAGTGGGTTAAGAATCCACCTTGCAATGCAGGGTATGTGGGTTCAATCCCTGGTTTGGGAACATCCCGAAACTTGAGGGGCAAGTGAGGGGCCCGTGCTGAGGGGCAACTAAGCCCGTGTGCAGAAACTGCTGAGCCCGTGCACTCTGGAGCCCACACACCGCAACCAGAGAAGACCTCAAGCCAGAATCAAAGATCCCGCATGTCACAACTAAGACCCGATGCAGCAACGTAAATGAAGACATATTTTTAAAAGAGAAGACAGTAAGTAGGAAGAAGAGGAAGGTGAGGGAAAATAAAAACATCAGAACAGGAAAGAAGAAAACAATTCTGACCTACTTCACAATTCTTCCTTCTACTGAATACACTACAGAAATATACCCACACCCACACCCATATGGAAAGATCCCAGGGTTAGAGGCGAAAGTGCAGAACTGGTGGCAATTGTTTTATCCTGATTTGACCTTCCTTGGAAACCTATAGGCCAACAAGCTGGAAGATGGTAAGGTTCCCTGACCTTCACTAGGGAAGAAATTATGTCCACTGCAACCCGCATCAGTACTTCTCTTCACACTTACCTTGGCTCGCTGGCTGATTACACTAGTGTCCACCTGTTCATGCCACACCTGTTGAAGGTCTGAAACCAGCAAGGCATAGCCCTGCCTGGTGATATACACCTTGACTAGGAGGGAGTTCTCAGCAAGCTGTAGCCATGCCCATGGCTGCATCAGCAGGCCTTGCTCCAGTTCCTCCATCTGCAGCAGAGTCTTAATTTAGCAAAGTGCCTCCAGGGTCCTGCAGGTCTGACACCACTCAGACAGTTCTGTATCAAATATGCTTTGTGAAAATCCTAAGAAAACAGAAGGAATGGATTTACTTTCTTCCCCCTCTCCTCCACCCTCCTGATAAGTAATAAACTGAGCATCAATCTTACTACCTCCTTTCGATAAAAATCTATCTAGAATTTTGACAGTTTTTTTCTCATATTAAATTCCTAGAGGATGTAAAATATCTCCTTCTTCTATAGCATTTAAGCCTCAATAAATGGGTACTAGTATTTCTGCTTTCCAATGGTAAAACAATGTGGAAACCTACACCATTCTTGTCACATCTTTATCACATTCCTAATAAATATATCAGTGCTATCCTTTCCCAGAATTTCCAAAAGAGAAGAAATTGTTCTTTTTTTATAAAACATCATAAGTGTCATGAGCAGGAAACTCAAATTATTTGATCATTATCTAAAAACAAAACTCTGGAAGCTCTCAGAATTTTAAATATGTGTGCGTGTGTGTGTGTTCAGTTGCTTAGTCATGTCTGACTCTTTTTGACCCTATGGACTGACTGTAGCCTGCCAGGCTCCTCTGTCCATGGGGATTCTCCAGGTAAGAATACTAGAGGTGTGTATATTCACTAAACATATATATATTCCCTAAATTACTGTATGCATATATATATATACATTTATATGCCCCCTAAATACATTTTCCCCTAAATATAGATACATTCTCTAAGACAGGGATTCTCAATCTAGAGTCAATGCATGTAAGTTCTCTGGAATTTTGCTTATAAAAGCAAAATTTGTGCATAAAGGCATATACCCATTTGGAGGGAAGAGGTCCACAGTTATGGTCAAATAAAGAGCTAATAACTCCATGTCCAGAAGCAAAGAGAAAAACCCCAACTCCATTTCAAGAAGACCCTGAATGACTAAGAAGTCAATATAAGATACAGAACATAGCAAAGGTAGAGACCATGAAATAACTCCACTTCCCTCATTGCCCACCTCCCCTCCCAAGGCACTGCCACCAATGATATCACGCGCTGCTGAACATCCTGGAAGCCAGTCTATCCACTTCAGTAACTAAATGTGTAGCCTTAACCTAACAGATATTCAGTAACAATGGCTACTTTACAGGCAGTTATCATTTTTCCTGTGGGTTAAAAAAAAGTGATATAATGAAAGTCTATAAATACACACTGAAGTTAGGGGAGGCAGATCTTTAAGAACATAAAGATAACAATGAAAATCCTTGGATTTCATTAATATGGTTAACATGGCTCCGTTCTTCCAGTCATTTTCATCTTAATCTAAGCCATTATTCTTCCAACCATAACCTACTGCAGCCTTGTAACATAATTTGTACAGTCACTAGGCAGGTGAAATAGAAATGCACGTATTGTAATTTTTATCTGCAGCCTCAAAACCTTCTGTTTGGAGGATGGTATTTCAGTCACATTTCCCCTGCTGCTCCTACTGGGAGAAGCTGGGAATGACGAAGCCAGTCCTCACCAGACCACAGTCCCACTTTGCCCAAGATCACACACCTCAAGTCCATCACAAACTGCAAGTCACCAAGCCCTTCTCTCCTTTCTAGGCACTCCCCAGGGTGCATTCTCAGTCACCAAAATTGGGCTGATTATCTGAGCCTGTCACTTCAGAAAGCCTGGATGCTCAAGACACTCACACTATATGGTGTTTTGTGGGCGGGGGAGGAGTTTAAAATGCAGCTGGGGGGGTCAACAAGCCCCCCAAAAAGGTTTGAGCAATTCAGCACTACACCTAGAGTTAGCTGCTCCCACCACACACATCCAGTTCTGAGGCCTCAATATCTCAGCTTTTTATTTCCTTCTAGGATGACTTCACATGAACCAGATTCACCCGTTTATTATTCTTTTTTTTCCTCCTAATAATTTGTTATTGAAGTATAGCTGATTTACAATATTAGCTTCAAGTGTGGTGGCGGTGGTTTCGTCGCGAAGTCGTGTTCGACTCTTGCGACCCCAGGGACTGTATGTAGCCTGCCAGGCTCCTCTGTCCACGGGATTCTCCAGGCAAGAATACTGGAGTGGGTTACCATTTCCTTCTCCAGGGGGTCTTCCCGACCCAGGAATCGAATCCAGGTCTCCAGCATTGCAGGTAGATTCTTTACCTACTGAGCTATGAGGGAAGTCAAGTGTACACCTGTTATAATTACTGAATGAAGGAAGTGGAAGTCCGGAGGGCCAACAACGGAGTGGGGTCGCCTAAGGCGGGTCGGCATGAGCCCCTCTAAGCGCAGTTCCTCCGCCATCCTGCAGAGGGCAGCAGAACGCCAACGACCGTCCGGGCTAGACCCCGCCCCGCCTCACCCTTCGGGGAGAGGGCGGACCCTGCCTCACTTTACCACAGCCCCACCCCAGGAGCCCCGCCTGGTGGCAGCCAGTTTCCATTCGCCCTCGCTAGAAAGGCCTTCCAGTCCGCGTTTCTATTTTTACAGAGCCGGCTGCGTGAGGCATGGCTCCCGACTCCCCAAGGGGCAACAAGGCCAAAAACCGGCTGCCTCCTCGCAGCAAGTTGCCGGCTAGGAGTACCTCCACAAACCCCGCCCCGCGGCTGGGAGGCGAGCTGCGCACGCGCGGCCTCCGCCACCCACCCGCCCATCCCGGGAGGCCTGGCCCAGAACCTTGGCCGCGCGCTGGTACCTCCAGGCAGGACACGGGGGGAGGAGGCGCTATTGCCAGGACCAGCCCGCAGGGCCCGAGAAAGTCTCTCATTTCCTGGCCCCGGCCCTGGCCCGAATTAGAGCTCGACCCCACCTACCGTGAGCGGCCGGGAGAGCTCTCACCCTCCCCGCGGCAGGCTGGCCCGCCCGCGCCAACGAAAAGGCCTAGAGTAGAAGCATTTCCCACCCCCACTACAGGGAGGTGGGGTCTTGGGACACTGGGGCGGAGCTCAGGCCTGATGTGGGCGGGACATCTGGGCCCCAGGAGCTGATAACTGGAGTGCTCCGAGCGGAGGGCTGCCGGTGCCCGAAGGGCGCCCTGGTAGGGAGGTGGAAGGATAAAGGCACTCCTTGGAGTTGCCCAGCTTCCCTGGCGGCTCAGACAGTAAAGAACTGGCCTGCGATGCGGGAGACCAGGGTTGGGAAGATGCATCGCCTGGAGGAGGGCATGGCAACCCACTCCGGTATCCTCGCTTGGAGAGTCCGCACGGACAGAGGAACCTGGCGGGACACAGTCCATAGGGTCGCAAAGAGTAGGACACGACTGAGCGACCAAGCACAGCACAGAAGAGTTGCCCTGGCAGAGTAGAAAGAATGCCAGACGAAATGCAGGAGGGGACCACGAATTTGGACTTGAAAAACCGAAAGTCAAATTTCCACACCCTACCGTTTTTTACTGTTTTGTTTTTAAATAAAATGAGGGGCTTGAACTTCACTAGATATTCTCTCTTGGGTCCCACCAGCACGCTAGTTAAGAGATGAGTCTCCCAGGCATACTTCCCCTGGTCTGACCTTATCTTGTACCTCTCCTGCCTCCTTTCTCCCTCCATCCACGGCCATACTTACGCTCCATCACCAATCCAACTCATCTTGTACCTTGTGTAACTTAGTTTCACTCCATCTGGACACCCTAGTCTGAAAAATTCTCCTCATCCGTGTTCCACAACCCAAAGTCCTCTTGTTAAGGCCAGCCCCAGTGCTGCTTCTATGTAAAGTCCTTCCCACTGTCCTCAATCAGAATTCATTATTTCTTCCTCTCTGCTCCCATTTTTTTTATTTTTCAGTTCAGTCGCTCAGTCGTGTCCAACCCTTTGCAACCGCGTGAACCGCAGAACGCCAGGCCTCCCTGTCCATCACCAAATCCCGGAGTCCACCCAAACCCATGTCCATTGAGTTGGTGATGCCATCCAAGCATCTCATCCTCTGTTGTCCTCTTCTCCTCCTGCCCTCAATCTTTCCCAGCATCAGGGTCTTTTCCAATGAGTCAGCTCTCCACATCAGGTGGCCCAAGTATTGGAGTTTCAGCTTCAGCATCAGTTCCTCCAATGAACACCCAGGACTAATCTCCTTAGGATAGACTGGTTGGATCTCCTTGCAGTCCAAAGGACTCTCAAGAGTCTTCTCCAACACCACAGTTCAAAAGCATCAATTCTGCGCTCAGCTTTCTTTATAGTCCAACTCTCACATACATACATGACTACTGTAAAAACCATAGCTCCCATAGCATTCTTTTAATCTTTATTGAAGACTGACTTCCACTTTGGATTTTAGTTAGTAATTACATGTCTTTTGTTGTTATTGTTTTGATGCACCATGAAGCTTATGGGATCTTAGTAGTTCCCCCACCAGGGATCAAATCCATACCCCTTGGTTGGAAACTTGGAGTCTTAACCACTGGACCGCCAGGGAAGTCCAGTAATTATATGTCTTTTTAAATCGTAAGTGTTTGAGAGGGGAGGGACCATGTCTTATCCATATCTGTATTTCCAGGACCTTACACATAGGAGATAATAAATATCAGTTAAGTGAATGCTAGGGTTCGAGTATAGATCATTCACAGGCAAAATACCACTCATTCATTCACAGCCCCTGCTCTGGGACAGGCCTAACTAAGAAAGGAAAAGGCAAACACACTTATTGGGAAGTGAGACTTTTGGGGAGCCCATGTGAGACACACATGTACATCCTCTCCCTGGGAGAAATTGGAGCCTGTGATCTGGTTCTCCAGCAAACTGGGAGGTAGGATTAAACTAACCAGAGTAGGAGTCCTAGTAATTACTGGGACTCTCCTCTGCTAGGCTGAGGGCACTGGTCCCCAAAGTCAGGCAGCAAGTCAGCTGTCTCTCCAGGCTCAGAGGGCCCTCTTTCCTCATTCCCAGAGTCTTGGGGCAGCGGGCAGAGGCAACGGAGGGGTTGGTGAATGCAGGGACACAGGTTTTGGATGGAGAAAGGAAGCTCGTACTCTTGATCTGCCCTCTCCTTAGACTTCTGAGGCATCGGAGCCTCTCGGGCAGTGAAAGGAGGTGGCAGCCCTTGCCCTAGACCTCGCTCAAGCCGTGTGCCTGCAAAAGACAAAGTGGTCAGGTCATTGCCCAACCCAGGGAGTGATGACTTCCTGGCCACTCTCCAGTCTACTGGGGCCTGGCCTCAACTTACCAGGAATGGTGTTCTCTAGGAGGAAGCCCAAGAGTCCCGCCAGGAAGATGGGCTCTGTGAGCAGTGAGTGCAGTAGCACATCCAAGGGGCTCCAGCCTACAACGGGTTGGGACCAGGCAGGAGGGGGACTCTGATGCTATGTAAAACCAAGGGTCTTATACTTCCAACCTAAGCTTAAATACTGGATGGAGGACAGGTCTTTCTGAATTGTTCTATCTCCCCCTCCCTACTTTGTCCCTCTGCTCTCTATTTCCCACATCCAGACCCTTCCCACAGGACCCCTGCTTAACACCCTATCTTCTGAGCAGCCACGTGCCTTCCAGATATGCTTTGATCATTCCAAGCTCCCTGTCTTTGGGAAGTTTGTTATTAAAATCCCCAGCCTTATTTCCTACTTCTCACCTTCTATGCTCTAGCCTGAGTTCCTCAACTTCAGAACTACTGACATTTTGGACCAGATACTTCTCTGTTTGAGAGAGGCTGTCCTGGGCACTATAGGATGTGTAGCAGCATCTTTGTAACCACTAAATGCAAGTAACCTCTCCCCTGCTTATAACAACCAAAAATGTCTCCAGACATTGGCAAATGTTCTGTGTGGGGCAAAACCATCCTCAGTTAAAATCACGGCTGTTTGCTGAGCTGAGCTAACAAACTAAGTTATTTGCTGCTCCTGGGACATATGCTATGACTTCCTACTTCCTTGGTGGGTAATGACCTTCTCATCAAATACGTTTCAATCTTACCATCCTTCAAGACCAACTCAATGTTACTTTCTCCATAAAAGTTACTCGGTTCATCTCCAAAAGAAGCCATCTCTCACTGCAGAGCATCACAGCTCTTTATCTGAACCTTTCTGGTTACATTTCTACACATCTCATCTCTTTTACTAGACTGTAAATCTATAGGCACCTTTGTATCCCAAGGAAGCTAGCATGGTGTTCAGTAAATACTTGCTAAACAAATGGACAGACTATTTATCCCCAAGCCCAGAGAAGGGTGTGGGGCCTGGGGTCCAGAGAAACTCAAGCCTTGAGCCCTTGCTTGCCCACTGCCAGGCAACTCCTCTGTCCCTCCCCCTCCTCCCACCTGTGCTCAGTAGGACCGGAGCTTCCCGAAACCACCTCGGCAGCAACAGGGCCGTGAAGATGGAGAAGCCAACAATGAAGACATTCCTCCCAGAGTCAATGTCAGCCAAGTGGAAGCTGGAGAATCCAGTAGACAGAACCACGGCCTGGGTCACGCCCAGCACCCCACCTGTCTCATCCGGAAGTAATCAAAGAGGTTGGGAGAGGGCTGGCACACCAGAGTACTTACTATAGGGTGGGGCAGGTTGTGAGGGGCAGAGACCACCAAAAAGCCCAGGAGACCAGAAGCCCAGTCAGGAGGCTGAGATATGACTGAGAAAATGAGGGCAGCTGCCATATACTCACAGCCATATGCTAGGGAGGCTTCTCAGAAAGAAAGGGTGTCACCCACAAGCAACCAGCTGGGCCCTGCTGAGGGATCCCGGTTCAATACCAGTGCTGCCGAGACATCCGCTCATCAAGAACAGGCCCACTCACCAAGCACAGGCAGCGGGATGGTGGTGAGGAACTGGGCTAGCCTTGGGGAGAGCCCCAGCGCCACGCAGAACAGCCCCACCAAGTAGGCCACTCGCCGAGGTCCAGCCTACGTGATGAAGAGACACTGGAACACACCTCCTCGACCACTCAAGCCTTTTGCTTGGCCAGCCCCATCTCATCCTTTGGATCCCAACTAAAATGTTACTCTCCCGAAAAGCATCCTAAAGGGCTCTCTCTTACTCAACCTGCTTCCCAGCCCCTGCTTTGTTTTCTTAATAGCACTTTTCACTTTTGGAAATTATCTTATTTGCTTTTCTCCTAACGTGTCCGCCTCTCTCTTTCTTGAAGTCCTCAAGAGAACAGGGACTTATCTGACTCCTTTCTCTCTAGAACCTCAGCCCTGGTACAAATGCCTGAGGCACAGAAGGAGCTCAGTAGTGATTTAGTGTCTCCCTCACACTCCTAGTCCCCACAACTTCTAAGCACCTCTCTCAATGAGATGGCCTCTGTGAAGAGCCTGACAGAGGGCTGGGCACAGCAAGCCATCGGTTCCCTTCCCTCTCTTGCACCTCCAGCTCCTCTCCCCACACCCCTGTTCACATACCTGGAGAAGACCCACTGTGCCCACATTGGGGAAGCTGGATGCAGTGCCCATGGGGCTTCCCAACAGCCCAGCCAGCACACTGCCCAGTCCCTCCAGGCTCAGCCCTCGGCTACAGGCGTGCGGAGGTGGAGAAGGCAAATGCAGCAGCTGGCCACAGAGGGCGTAGCAGCCCAGGGAGCTGATGGAGGCTGCCAAGGCCATGGAGATGCCTGCAGCCAGAGCCCTGGGTGTCAGCAAGGGCCAGTCCCACTCAGCTGGGGAGGGAGAAGGAGCCACTTTGGGGCCAGACTCAAGTCTGAAGCATCCCCCTGCCTGCAAAAGCCTGTGACACAAGAAGCCTAAAGGCCCCATTGTCTTTGAAGATAATGTCTTGGGACAAAACCATCAAACTCAAGGTAAAAACCCATTCATTCCTTTACTGCGATCTACAAGGTCCCTTTGGTCTGATCCTTACCTCTTTCTCTAGCCTCATCTACAACCACACTCTTCATCATTTCTTTCACTCCAGATACACTGGCCTTTGTTTCAGGCCTTTGTACTTGCTGTGCTGCTGGCCACCACAGGGCCTTTGCGTATGTTGTTCTCTCCACCTAGAATGCTCTTGTCTCTTGCCTTTCCCTAATAAGCTCCTACTCATCTCTCACATCTCAGCTCAGTGATCACTTCCTCAAGAATGCCTTTCCTGGGAAATCTCTGGCAGTCCAGTGGTTAGGGCTCCATCTCTCACTGCTGAGGGCCCAGGTTCAATCCCTGGATGGAGAACTAAGATCCCACAAGCCATGTGGCATGGTCAAAAAATAATAATAATAAAGAAATAAAAATAAAAACCATTTAAAAAAGAACGCCTTTTCTAACCTCTCCAATAAAGTCAGATTTTTCCATTATAAACCTTCATCATACAAGGTACATGTCCTTTGCCGTATCTACTATATGCAATTCTACATTCACTTAGGTAACTATTGAATTAGTATCTGTATTCCTTGACATATTATAAGCTTCCTGAGTGCAGGTTCTGAGTTCTAGGAGAAAGCCTACCTGGGTGAGGCAGCCAAAACCACGGTGCCTTGGTGGGGGCAGACAATTCCCTGGGGATGATGCTGAGACCCAGAAGGGCAGAAACAATCCACACACAGGCCACTGGGATCAGCACCTGAGGGACGAGACTCAGAAAAGAACCCCTCCCCCAGAACCTTCCAACTTTCTTAAAGGGGTAGACAACAACCAAGTAGGGGCCAAGTGAGCAATCCATGCCAGCCTTCCTAACTCCAACTGCCCCGCCCAAACCCCCACATACCGAGAGGAGCCTGAAGGCCAGGATGTGAGTATGGGTTGAAGAGGTTGAAGCTGGCCTCCAGGGGCGTGGGGGTAGCAGGCAGGAGCCCAGGTGCTGAGAACAGACCACCATGAGCACAATCAGCCTAGAAGAGGGAAGGGGCTTTAGGGGCAAAAGGAAGCTTGACCCTGAGGCAGGGAGTAGAGATGGGAGGGGCAGGATACCACGAAAGGGGGTTCCATAAAAGAATGCCCCCGTGGAGAGGGATGGAGGGCACCTTGAGGGTCAGTGAGAGACAAGGTACAAGCCAAGGTAACCAAATGAATCCAGTAAAAGTCTTGGATTCCAAAGCCACAAGTGTTATCCCTGCTGAGACGGCTGCTGGACTGGTAAGAGTAGCAGCTCTCTCCTCCCACTCCCACATAGCCCACCAGGCATCACGCCTCTCAGGACTTACTTACAGCGATGCCAGGCCCCAGTGAGTGAAACAGAGCAGAGCTACTTCCCTGTAGACAGAGAGCCCTGCCACAACCAGGCTGGGGGCCAGCACTAGGGGCCCACAGCGGAGGAACAAGTGGCCAGGACCCCCCAACAGCCCCAGAGTGGCCTGCAGCAGCCCAGAGATCACCACGGCCCCCGACACCTGGTGGAGAGGAGAAAAGGACAAAGAGCAAACATTCTCCTTGATCAAGGTGACCTCAGCCTGGACTTCTTAACTAATTCCAGGGAGTTTGCTGGCATCCTAGTGGTTAGGACTGTAGGCTTTCACTGCCATGGACCAGGTTCAGTCCCTGGTTGGGGAATTGAGATCCCACAAGCTGCATGGCGTGGCAAAAAAAAAAAACCCACAATTCCAGGAGGGGTTCCCCACCACCACCTCTTTCCCCTAGAGCATCTCAGTTCCTACAAAATGGAAACAAGAACCTCCCCAACCCTGGGAGCACTCTTAGTCCAGCCCTCTTCCTCCACGTCCCTAAGCACGTACCTCTCGGATAGAACTGTTCCAGAGCTCCAAGCCATGGCAGCCAGGCCTCCCACAGAGGCGCAGCACAAGGGAAGCTGGGAGAAGTTGGGGGCGTGGAGGAGAGAGATGGAAACAGGATGGAGAACCATTACTCTACAGTTCTGGTTGGCGCCTGGCCCTTTCATCATTGCCCCATCTCAACCCTGCACCCAAATCCACCTGTGTGCTCAGAGGAGCAGCCAACCCCACCCTCACCCTGTGCCTTTGCTCTATGCTCACAGTTTCCAGGTGTCCGGAGAGCCAGAGGTAACTTCTGACTGGTCAGCACCAGGGCGGGGATGAGAAACTGTAAGGATGGAGCCTGGACAAGAGGCAGCCTGTAGAAACGGCAGGTCTGGTAACGTGGGGCAGTCGCCAGCCTCCCTGAGCCTCACCTCCCGGCTGGGACCCCATCACCTTCTCTCCAGGGAGTTCCTCTCACCTGCTGCCCATCCAAGTTTGCAGGGAGGTAGACACGCCACATGCAAAGAGGCTGGAAGCCAGGAGCTGGGCAGGGGAGAAAGAGAGTCCTCCTGCTGGGAGACTTTGAAGCAAGAGCAGGTGGGAGGTGCAGAGTAGAGAAGCCAACACCAAGATATGCTGCGGGCAATTAGGCAGAAATACATATTTCCAGAGGGTTTCTCATGCCACACCTACACCCTCCAAACACCCTCTTCAGCCAGCAGCAGCAACCCAGGCACCTCTGCCTCCTACCTGCAGAGCCAGAAGACAGCTGAGGCCCCAGGGAGGAGGCCCGCACAGAGAGGCCCAAGAATGAGAGGGGGGATTTTGGACATCAGGTGGCCGTGGCAGGGGAGCCAGGGTGCTCTGGGAACCCGCAGACTGGAGCTGTATGACGTTGGGGGGTGACTGGCTCATACTCCCTGCCTTCTGTCTTGTCCTGGCTGCCCTGGGCCAGAGTTAAGTAGGGAGAGAGAGAGAGTAAGAGGTCAGAGTTTGTGTGAAGTTAGCTGCCTGGAGCAGGGAGGGGGCAGGACTGTCAATGAAGCAGAGCGAAGAGATGAGGGATTTGGGGCAGGATGCAGCCCTTTCACCTTTGCCCAGCTCTTGTGCAAATTCCATCACTCATTAACCGGGGAACCAAGTTCTGAGTCCCTCCCCATCCCAAGAATCTTCATCTGGGTCTCCTGTCCCAGGATAGGAGTGGTGGGGAGGAAACCGCCCCCTAGCATAGCCAGGGGAAGTTTGATAGACTGTACTACCTCCTCGCCACTGTCATTTGGAACCATCACAATTACACAGTAGTTCTCAAGCCTTTTAGGGTCAAGCCTCCTGGACTACCTCAAGAGAAAACATCCCTTCGTCATGTATGACAACTGTGATCACAACTCTGTATACAATGTTCTCATTGTAATATAAAGAAGAAATCAAAGTGATTTCTTTATTTTTAAAATATTTATTTGGCTGCTCCAGTCCTAATTAGGGGAAGCAGAATCCTCAATCCTTGCTGCAGCATGTGGGATCTTTAGTTAGACGTGCAAACTCTGAAGTTGTGGCATGTGGGATCCAGTTCCCCTGACCAGGGATGAAATCCAGGCCCCCTGCATCAGGAGCATGGAGTCCTAGCCACGGGACCACCAGGGAAGTCCTCAAAGTAATTTAAATAACGTATTTCACCATGGGAAAGCTTGGGTCCAACTTAACTGGAAGACAATGAAGTAGCCTAGTGCCCACCCCTCATGTGGAATTGCCGTGGATGCAACAGCTACAATTCCAACTGATACTGGTGCTTCCTTGATGACATGTGTACCACCAGCAGTGCTGCCATTCATGACCCGATGTTCCAAAAGAGTGAACAAGTTCTTTGTAAAGTGCTGAACAAAGCGTAGATTTAATGTACAGAGATGCATTCCTGGGAAACAGTCTTTTTCCAAATGGGCAAAATCTATTCTGTTTACATGCTTAGAGAAAATAAGTAGTTCCAGGCTCAGATAAACAATCATACATGATGTCTACCCAGTCATTCAAAAGTTGCCTCGGAAACCAGATCTGAAAGAGACACGTGCACCCCAATGTTCATCGCAGCACTGTTTATAATAGCCAGGACATGGAAGCAACCTAGATGCCCATCAGAAGACGAATGGATAAGGAAGCTGTGGTACATATACACCATGGAACATTACTCAGCCATTAAAAAGAATTCATTTGAATCAGTTCTAATGAGATGGATGAAACTGGAGCCTATTATACAGAGTGAAGTAAGCCAGAAAGATAAAGAACATTACAGCATACTAACACATATATATGGAATTTAGAAAGATGGTAATGATAACCCTATATGCAAAACAGAAAAAGAGACACAGATGTACAGAACAGACTTTTGGACTCTGTGGGAGAAGGTGAGGGTGGGATGTTTCAAGAGAACAGCATCGAAACATGTATATTATCTATGGTGAAACAGATCACCAGCCCAGGTTGGATGCATGAGACAAGTGCTCAGGCCTGGTGCACTGGGAAGACTCAGAGGGATTGGGTAGAGAAGGAGGTGGGAGAGGGGATCAGGATGGGGAATACATGTAAATCCATGGCTGATTCATGTCAATGTATGACAAAACCCACTACAATATTGTAAAGTAAGTAGCCTCCAACTAATAAAAATAAATGAAAAAAAAAAGTTGCCTTGGGAATTCTTCATAAGAAGGGAGTTCTTGAGCCTTTCTGGATGTGTAGCTTACTACATAGGCTGACTAAGTGTCAGTAAGTCACATCCCTTCAAATTTTTGTCAACCAAAAAATGCCCCATAGATTTCCAAGATGCCCCCTAGGTGGCAGCACCACCCCCACTGTGTATCTTCCTCTGTGGTCCCAAATCCTCTCAGCTCAGCTGGCTGCTCTTCTTTCAGTGATAACCCAGCCTTGGTCTTCTCTTTGGTGGTGGTTTAGTCACTAAATTGTGTCTGACTCTTGTGACCCCATGGACGGTAGCCCACCGGGCTTCTCTGCCCATGGGATTTCCCAGGCAAGAATACTGGAGTGGGTTGTCATTTTCTTCTCCAGGGCATCCTCCTAACCCAGGGATTGAACCACGGTCTCCTGCATTGCAGGCGGATTCTTTACCCACTAAGCCACCATGGAAGCCCTTAAGCTAATAATCACCATTTGTCAGCCCAGAAAGGAAGTCAGCAGACAAAGTATCCTTGAGATTGCCCTCAAGGAGCTCATGGGGCTCTGCTGGATACTCTCTCCATGACATGGGCCTTGGGATCCACAAAGATGGCTCTCACTCAGAACTTGTGACAGACAGGGTTACACCTAGGCAGGGCACAGTCACCATCTGTGCCCCACTGCACCAGTCAAGGAGTGTTAGGGGCCCCAGGGTGCTGGGAGCAGGAACGAGGAAGCAGCTTGATATGAGAACCTATGACCATCAAACAAGAAGGACGTTCTGGAATGGGACTCAGAGAGAATGAGCAGCAGGGTGACAGGATCAGGGAGTAGGGAGGCTGAGAAGGAAGATCTGGGGAGGAGAGTTCTTTGAGGGCTGCTGCAGAAGAAAGAGTCCAGGCCATGCAACTAAAACTGTTTATTGAAACCTTAGTTCTACAAAAGCGTGAAAAACCCAGATATAAAGCAGTAGCCAGAGAGGCCTGTGAAAAGAACACCCAGGAGAGGAACCGGAAGAGAGGGAAGCCCAGGAGCAGGGGACTTAAGAAGAGAATGTTGGAAGACAAAAGGGCCGGGGTGAAGGTCCCAGCAGCTCCTGGTTCTTCTAGACTCGGCGCGGGTGTGGGAGGTTCCCCCCTCTCCCGCCTTCCCTCAGCAACTCCCACCACGGGGGGCCCTGTCAGTCCCCGCCTCTCCTACCCCAGGGACATCAAACAGACCCTCATCAGTGTTTCCTCCCTCCCTCACCCAATCCTAGGAAACTCAAAAGCAGAAGTCTAGAAGAGCCCAGGGGACATGGAGAGACAGGGGCCTTTCCCCTGTCCACCTGTGACACACCCCTGGTCACTGAGCTGAGGCTTTCCCTGGAACGACCACTGCCCTGGCCAGGCAGTCAGCCACTGAGGGACAGAAAAGCAAGTGACCTTCAGTCCTTCTGCCACACGACCCCCTTAAGCTCCATCACCCAGGAGGACAGGAGACCAGCCAAGGACCCAGATCAAGCTTTGCCCCTCCAGGTTCTCAGGGACTCCCAAATCCTCTTAACGCATTCCTGAGAACCCTACCTAACCTGGGAAAATGAAAGACTTCAGGCGGGCCAGTTCCATGATGCTGAAAAGGGAACATTGCTGGGGCTGTGGGAGCAGAGGGGGCATTTGGCTCCAAGGCCAAGGGGGAGCCAGGCCATGGGAGTGGGACCAAGGACTGGGGGGCCCCGTGGAGACAGTATGGTTGAGGTGATGGCAGGCACGGCAGGTTGGGGAGTCCTTCTGGAGCTTCTGGCAAAGGGGGCAGTTGTGAAGAAGAGTGGGGGGAGCAGGAGGGTCTGGAGGAGGCAACGGTGGGGGAGTCAGTGAGGCTAGCAGACTGCCCCACAGTGAACGCAGCACTACATCGCCTTCCAGGCAGCCGGTGACGTTAGCAGGAGACGGCAGGCACTGTGGCATGGGGGAAGATATGCAGGGTTCCAAAAGGCACCTGAAGGCCAGTCCAAGGTCTGGAGGGCCAGGCGGGGGGCTGCAGGACAGCCCTAAGGACTGGTGTATTACAGCCATCGATGCCACAGCGAGGGCCACGCTGCTCACATATGCCATAGCCAACAGGCAGGACAGCTGGGGGAGAGGGGTTAAGAAAGGTCAGTGCCCAAATCCCCTTCCCCTGAACCCTCTTCCAACTGTCTTTAACACACCCGCCCCTTATCTCTAGACTCATGGACTCAACTTAGAGCTCTCAGTCACCATCTACTTCCAACCCCATCTCCTGAGCCATTCTGTATTTGCTTTACATTATCAGCCAGCTCAAGCTCCCTCTGCTTCCTGACCCGCCTCACCTTTGCCAGCCGCTGGCAGAGGGAGCCCAGCGCCAGTTGCCAGGCAGGCTGCTCCAGCAGCACACACAGGTCTGTGTAGGTGTACCATCCCCGCCGGCGCCCCTGCTGCTCAGCCACGCTGCAGGGATAGGAGAAAAGACACAGAGGGTCTGCAATCTTCCTGCAGCTGGCCCACCGGCACCCTCATTCCTCTGGGGACCCACCAGGGAACACCAGTGAACTTGTTAAATGTACAGGCTCCTAGGTATACCCATTGATTCCAAAGATGAGGGTGAGACCAAGATCTGTATTTTAAATAAGGTTCTCCCACTCTTCCAAAGGTGACAGAGGACAGCAGACTCGTTTGGGAACCATGACCTTGGGCAATTCTCTTTCTCGTTTTCTCCCTCCCCCCAGTTACACAGACCCTCACCTCTGTTTAGCTCCTATGGCTTAGGCCTCAGCCTCCAAATCCTCAAGTCCCTCTTTCCAATTCCTAGAACCTACCAGCCCTCCAGCCAGCTCAGCACCTCAAAGATTTCCCGAGGATCAGTGTAGAGCCGCCAATCCTGTGGATAAAGAGAAGAGCATCCAACCAGACTTGGACATGAGCCACAGTCAATTAATAACCAGACCCACAGCAGCAACTACAACCTCCACTACAGGTCACACTTGGCTCTTACTGTGTGCCAGATACTGTTCCAAAAACTTTTATGTATTAACTTATTTAGTCACCACATAGCTGGTTTCACATTGCACCCTCCATTAAAAGCAAAGAGAAAAAAATAATCCTGGGAATGGTTCATGCCCATAGGAAGCCTAGAATCTAGGGAAAGGCAAAGTCTGGAAGCAAATACCCAGAGCCCAGTAAGATAAGCTCTGGCTCAGAGTGTACTCTGTGGGACCTGGAAGACTGACAATGGGAGGTCTCCACTTCTGACTTCACCATGCCAGGAACCTCCAAAGACTGTGCTTATTCCAGAAAAGCTAGAGGGGAAGATGCTAATAAGGGAAGACATAAAGAGGACAAACAGAAAAATAAATAAAGAGACCACAGGAAGCTGGGAGATAAAAAACAAAGGATGAAAAGAACATAAAAACAGGTCAGGAAAACAAAGCAAAAGAGAGAAGAGCTATTCACCATGGCACTCAGGAAGCCCCTCTCCAGGGCATTGAGAGTGGGCACGGCCACACCCCCAGCAGCTCCCCATTCATCATTGAAGACCTCTTCCTCCTCCCCTTCGTCATAGAGGTACTTACTGGCCACCATCTGCAGAGGAACCAGAGGTGATATCAGCAGAGCTCACACCTGACTCCAGGCTTACCAGGGAGCTGAAGGGAAGGGGGCATCTTACCATGGAGATCAGGAACAAGTCAGAGGATGACACGTGCTGTAGGTAGTCTGGGTTTCTATGCCGGAGCCGCTCAATGTATACCAGAGCCAGCATCATAGCACACGGAGAGATGCAAGCCTCTCTGGGTATCAGAAAGGATTAGGAATTAAACACAAGGATCTTTCAGTTCTTGTAACTTATGATGCTCATCCCTGTATCTTTACAAGTTCTCTTTAGAGATAACTGTTCCCCTCTCTCTAGAGCCCAAACTCTGTATCACTCTGTATCTCTCAACTGTGGACTCACCGGGACACGTGGGCTACATATTTCTTCTGGAGCCGGCGAATAGGACTGGGGGCTGCCTTCTGGAGCAGTTCCACAGCAATATCTGTAGAGGCAGAAGGATAACAGAGTGAGCAAACAACTCCCCCACAGCTGTGCCCACTGCTATCAGCAGAAGACCCAGATCTACATTCTCTGAGGTCTTGGAGACAGGACCACAGTAACAAAGCAGAGATTCAATTCTCCCACGCTGAAACAAAAGGCCTATTCCAAATATGAATTCCAGCTGCTTCCAACAGGAAGGCTTATTTCCCTGTCACCTGCAATTAATTACCTAGATGTGTCCTTCACTCTAGCTCACTTGAGAAGATAAACATGTCTTGTTGATGGGGGAAATATATGATAGGTATGCTTGGAAAATTAAAAGTTTCTAGTCTATAGATCAAGAATAATATAGATTTGTAAGGCAGCAATATTTCCTAATCATCTGGATTTAAGGAAAAAATGAAATACAGATCTAGTCCTTACACCTGTCAAACATACTAACTACCAAGAGGCAGTGTAGTTCACAGGCTACACCTAGAGTCATTTTGATGACGGCTGACAACCCCACTTTCAGGCTTCTCACTTGTCGGGTCGTACAACACTGTCTAACCTGCCACGGGGCTGGAGAGCTCCTCCAGAGTACAGTCAGTTTCCCAGTCCCAGCCATAGTAGAGTCTCCTTCGGATTCGGGCACTCAGCTTCTGGTGTCCTGGGAGAAACTGAAACGGCAGGAGTCGGGTGGAGGGTGAAGGGCAGGAAAGGGTATGATGGAGATCCTGGCTCCGGGATGGAAGGGGGCTACGGGGCGGTAGGCCAGCCGCACGGCTAGCGGTGCCCGTGCCCCACCCGGCCCCGCGCCCCACCCGGCCCCGCACTCTCTGGATTGTTTGCTAGTGGCACTCTGTCCACAGCGGGTGGAGTCCTCCTCACCGAGGGCTCCGGAGGAGTTCTCCAAGAAGGGGCCGGGCTGGTTATCTCCTACCCCATTCCAGTACCGCAGCTCTCCCCATGGGCCCAAGGAGCCAGGGCCTCGAGTTAGGCACGGGTCGAGCGGCTACCGCCTAGTTTCCCGGCAGAGCCACCAGGCGAGCTCGCGGCCCCGCTCGGGCTCCGGTGGGGGGGCGGGCGCGGAGGGAGCGCCCACGGCCAAGGCTCCAAGCGCTAGGAGGCTAGGGAGGCGGCGGGCCGCGTGCTCACCGTGAAGTCCTGGAAGCCGGTGAGGGAGAAGGTGCCTTCTTCGTCCAGCAGGAGCCCGGCGAGGTCCATCGCGCCGCCAGCCACTGCCCTACGAAGGGAAGGGAACGAGTTCGAAAGGGGCCGCGGAGCCGTCCCTGCCCGCCTGCCCACCTGTCCGCCGGCCTCCCTCACGCGGGCCGCCGCCCTTGCCGGTGCAGCCCCCTCCCCTCGCGCCAGCCGCGGCAGGCGGGGCCGGGCAGCAGAGCCTCTTCCTGTTCCGCTCCGGGCGGGGCTCCTGGCTCCCGGTTCTGGCCTCCGGACTCGGGGCGTGGAGCTGCAGGGCCTGGACACCCACCTCACCGAGTAGAGAGGAGTCCTGGCTTCGAGGCGCGTGCTGTGCCTTTGCCGCGCCGCGCGTCTGCCCGGTGTTTACAAGCCGCGGGGGCGTCGCGGGCGAAGTCAGCACCGGGCACTTCCTGCTGCCAGCTGGGCCGAGCCGCCAGCTTCGACCGCTGGGAAGGAGCTGGGCTAGAATTCCTGATATCGCTGAGCCCCAGCGTGTCTGAGAAATCGGGACAATTCCTAGGGGGCCGTGGCACACGAGGACGAGCGAGCCCAGCTGACCTTTTCGTGCCGGTGTAGATATAAACGTAAATAAAACAAAGACTCGGGACAGGGAGTTGCTCGCGCTTGTTTTCTTTTAAAGGGGAGATGTATGCACACACAGAACAATATACATTTTAAAAATAAAATCAGCAAGAATACACAAATTTTAACTGGTGAATTGTGTACAAAGTAGCAAGGGCACTGATTTTTGGCTATATATATTGCAGAGATTAAATGTTTTCAAGGGAACACGTAACAACACGCTTGTTACGTTGGAAGCCTCAATAAATGGCGTTAACGCCCCTCCTCCCCCGCCAAGAGTAAATAGCACCTAAACAGGGTTTTTAGACTTCGAGACCCCAATATCTCGCTTAAGGGATTGGAAGGAGTTCCGATGCGTGAAGGCGGGAGAGTTTACAGAAAATTGGTACGGAAACAACTTTTCTGTGTAGCCGAAGCTGTTTTCCAGTCGATCGAGTCACGCGCTGGTGTTTATTGCTGAGGGGAGGGAACTGGGAGGACCAGTACATCGAGGGTTGAGTAAAAGGACGGCCGCCGCCCTAACCAGAGCAGAAAGAGCCCACGGGGGCATCTGGAAGCTGACTTCCTGCCGCTTCGGGTCGCCTCACACCAGAAATCCAGGCGAGGACCGGCCGCCCTAGCCGCCCTGCCCACACAGGGGGAAGAAAATTGGCTGGAGTGGGCGAAAGCGGAGATACAGCCCCTCTGTCAGGAAGAGGCAGACACCGCCCGGCGCCGCCAAAACACACACCTGCGTAGGAGCAGGGTCACCCGCAACCCCCTGCGCGCAGGCGCCGGTCACCCTATCTCGGCGGTTAGGGCACATCACGTGCCGGGCTCGTCGCTCCGCCGTCACGTGACGCCCGTCCGCGGCCTGGGCGGCCCTCTCCGCGGTGTGCGCCCCCTTCCGCCTGACGCGCCCCAGGCGGCGGCCGCGCAGCCCTGGCTCCTCGCGGGCTCGGGCGGCGGCTGCGGCGGGGCTATGGCGAGCGGCGGTGGCGGTGGCAACACCGGCACTGGTGGGGGCCCGGGGCTGGGTCTGAGCCTGGGCCTGGGCCTGGGTCTGGGCATGGGTGAGGCCACCGGCGAGGCGGAGGAGGAGGCGGCCACGGCCGAAGCGGTGGGACGCCTCGCCACGACGCTGTGGCTGCGGCTCCGCGGCTGGGAGGCGGCGTTGGCCGCAGCGCAGCGACTGCTGGTGTGGGAGAAGCCGCTGCACAGCCTAGTCACGGCGGCCGCGCTCAACGGCCTCTTCTGGTAACGGCCGTGGAGGAGGGGGCGGGGCCGGGCCGCGCGGGAGAGCGGGGGCGGGCGAGCCCGGAGTCCCATTCCCGTTTCTGGGCAAGACGCTTGTCCTGGAGGGCTGGTCCACCTCCTGGTGTTTAAAGATCGCTGTCATCCTGGGGTGCCCCGTTCCTGTGTCTTCGGGTGTCGGATTAGGCCTGGAGGTTCCCAGTCCCTCATCAGTGGGCGCTTTTCCGCCTTTCGCGACGGGTATAGGAGCCTCCCTCACCCACTCATCGCTGAGGTGCCTCTCTCTCCCTAAGGTTGCTGTCTTCGTCCTCCCTACGGCCCTTCTTCCTACTCAGCATCTCACTTTTGGCCTATTTTCTGCTGGATTTGTGGCAGCCTCGCTTCCTCCCTGACATCTCTGGTGAGTGTGACTTGATTCATTCAGCAAGCCCCAGTGAGCACTTGTTTTGTGCCTGGCCCACCCGGCTTGGGTTGAATGGTGAGACGCATGTACCGCAGGCCACCTGCCTCCCAAAGCATGGCTGCTTACTTCCCCAGATGGGAAATAAATTTCCTCTTTCTCAAAATTCATGTTATCGTGTGTGGTTGTTAAGTCGCTAAATCGTGTCTGATTCTTATCCATTGAGTGGTGATGCTATCTAACCATCGCATCCTCTGCCGCCCTCTTCTCCTCCCGACTTCAGTCTTTATTGTGTGTAGTAGTAGTAGTAAAGATTGTGGACCTCTGCATCCAGATTGCCTGGGTTCCATTGCTTGCTTCCCATTTACCCTGTATGTGACCTTATAAAAGTCACTCAATCTCCAGTTTCATGAAGAGGAGGATATTCTTGAATTTATAAATACACTTCATATGCTTATGGTAGGGTTTCACGTACGGAGTATTAGATCTTAACCAGGGTTTTCTTGTCCACATGTTTACTTAATAGACGGTTTAGCGAATTGGGTGCCAGGTTGTGTGTGAGCTGTTTGGGGTGTATGTACATGTGAATGTGAATAAGATGGGGTTCCTGTTGTTGAAAAGGGTAAAGTCTGAGGAAGGAGACAATACAAACAACATAACAATGTAATACTTCCTGCAAATGGCATTTGAAGAGAGCACTTTGGGACTGCAGAGGAAGGGCAACTGTTTCTGGCTCGGTGAGTATTTCCCAGAGCTCTGCCCCTCAGTAACTTATCTCCCTTCCCTTTCTATAGCATCATCCCCGGAGGAGCCACACTCTGACAGGTGAGTGAAGACCACCCTTTGAAGAACAGACAAATGTCCACACCCTTGCTTTGGTGCCAGTGTCACCACCACGGTGCAGAGCAATCCGGAGTTTCTGTGGGCACAGCCCCCAGCATAGTGAATGCACTGTAGCAGGCTTGGTCCTGGGTTCTTGTGTAGGTGTTTGTGTGCCTGCTGTTTTCAGGGCAAAGGGTTGGGAGCCCCAGGCTTTGTTTCCCAGGACCTAGACAGCCTCCCATTGGGAGGCAGGGTTGTCCACTTCCTTAGACTACAGAGCTCATGGGCATTCTCAGAGGGATTTGAGTGCCTAGGAAGCTGGTGTCTGAGGCCTCCAGGGGTCATATCATGTCTCCCCAGTGAGGGTGCGGGGTCAGGAGCCCGGCCGCACCTGCTGAGTGTGCCCGAGTTGTGCAGATACCTGGCTGAGAGCTGGCTCACCTTCCAGATTCATCTGCAGGAGCTGCTGCAGTACAAGAGGCAGAATCCAGCTCAGGTAACCTCCCCCTCATCACGCAACAGTGCTCTATCCTGTGGAGAAATGGAGGTGGGGATGGGGAGGAGTGACTCGAATTCCTTAACTGGAGATGAAGGATAAGGCCTGGGGCCTTTTTAAGGCGAAATTTACTGCTAGTAGCCTGATACAAGATGCAGAGTAAGCTTTTGGTGTCCTGACACTATTTCTTGCCAAGAGAGACCAAGTTTGAATTATAGGTGTTTGGCTATGTCAGTTGCAAACTTCCTGAATCTATGATCCTGGGCATCCTCTTGACTAAACTGGATCACTGAGTTCTTAGAGGAGATACCCTTCCTTCCACCAGTGGAGCAGTAATATTTCTTTCCCCGGATAAGTGGAGCACATACCTCAGTCTCCTGTTCTTCTTAGACCCTGTGCTCTTCTCTGCAGTTCTGCGCTCGCGTCTGCTCTGGCTGTGCTGTGCTGGCTGTGCTGGGACACTATGTGCCAGGGATTATGATTTCCTACATTGTCTGTGAGTAGCATCGGGCCCCTGCCCTTTCCAAAGCCCTTTCTTTCTTTTCTTGGACTGACCCAAGGGGGGTTGTTGCAGTCTCTTTGCCCAGTTACCCACTTACTCCTGAGATCTTCAGGAGGATGCTGTGGGATTGGTGGAAGGAGGGCAGTGGATGTGGGAAGAAGTTGGCACAGCCTCAGGAAGGGACTTTGTCTCCTTCAGCCTTTCCTGTTTAGGCATCAGTTGAATGAGGGCTCTTAGTTAATAGGCATAGGGAGCTCTGAGTGGACTCTCTGACCTTCAGTGCTGAGTATCCTGCTTTGGCCCCTGGTGGTGTATCATGAACTGATCCAGAGGATGTACACGCGCCTGGAGCCCCTCCTCATGCAGCTGGACTACAGCATGAAGGCAGAAGCTGATGCCCTGCATCACAAACATGACAAGAGGAGTAAGGGGATCCCATGACCCAGGAGGGGAAGGCGGGGAGGACCTTGGTTTGAGACTTGTGAAATGCCCTGGGATTTAGATACTCTCCAGACCTGTGGCTATGTTTGTCCCCCACCTCTGTTCCTGCTTGGTCACTGCCCTGCTGTTGTTCTCTAGAGCGGCAGGGGAAGAATGCACCGCCCGGAGGGGATGAGCCACTGGCAGAGACAGAGAGTGAGAGCGAGGCAGAACTGGCTGGCTTCTCCCCGATGGTGAGGTCCAGGGGTCCAGGGGCGATGGGCTGTCGAATAGAAGGCTGGGGGAGAATCTACTTTAGAGCAGCCACCTCTCAAGGGGATGGGAGTCGGTGGCAGGGCAGGGAATGCTCCTGGAAATGGGCTCTCTCACCCCTTTGTCTGTTGTGTTCATTATGGTTCCCCTGCAGGTGGATGTGAAGAAAACAGCACTGGCTTTGGCCATTACAGACTCAGAGCTGTCAGATGAGGAGGCTTCTATTTTGGAAAGCGGTGGCTTCTCTGTCTCCCGGGCAACCACTCCACAACTAACTGACGTGTCAGAGGGTATGGGAAGTCCTTTGTCCTTCCTGATCTTCCTGTTCCCTGTCTTGGGATGCTGGCTGTGCTCTCTGGTGATTGCCCCCATAAATGTTTTCTTTGGGGAGCCTATCCCCTAGTTGTACACGGTTCCTAAAAGACCTTAACACTTAAGGCCTGGCCTAGCATCCTATGTCCTGAGTTCTCATCCTTGAACTGAATGGCCCATTGCAGCTACTCAGAATAGCAGGCCCATTCCTGGCCCTTTGTTTTCTGCACAGATTTGGACCAGCAGAGCCTGCCAAGTGAGCCAGAGGAGGCCCTGAGTCGGGAGCTAGGGGAGGGAGAGGAGACAGACCTGGCCCCTCCCGAAGACCTGCTGGGCCCCCCTCAGGCCCTCTCACGACAAGACCTGGACTTGGAGGAGGAGGAAGATGTGGCATCCAAGGAAACCTTGCTTCGACTCTCATCCCCCCTTCACTTTGTGAACACGCACTTCAATGGGGCAGGGTCTCCCACAGATGGAGTGATGCTCTCCCCTGGAGGACCAGCGGAGACACCGAGCCTGGAGGCAGCGAGTGGTGACCTCACCACTCCTCCCAGCACCCTGTCGCCCCCACTCAGCCTTGTGGAAAGTGACCCGGTCCCCTCTCCCTCCGTCCTCCCGTCTCTGCCCCAGGACTCACCCCAGCCCCTGCCTGCCCCTGAGGAAGAAGAGGCACTCACCACTGAGGACTTCGAGTTGCTGGATCAGGGGGAGCTGGAGCAGCTGAATGCAGAGCTGGGCTTGGGTCCAGAGACATGCCCAGAGCCCCCTGACGCTCCACCCCCTCCACCCCTAGGGCCCGACACCCTGTCTCTGGTACAGTCAGACCAGGAGGCTCAGGCCGTGGCAGAGCCATAAGCCTGGGGGAAGGAGTTGCAGGCACAGTAGGGCTTCCTGGCTAGGGATGTCACTGTTGGCTCCTTTCCCTGCTATCCTGGGGAGGAGCAATATGTGAGGAAGCTGGCTATCAGATGGAGCCAGTCCCCCCTCCACCTGCCTGCCTGCCTGCCTGCCGTCCCAGGCCTGGTACAGTACCTGGGATTTCTTTTAAGTTTGTAAATAATTTTACATTTGGGTTTAGCGGTTACGAACAGGGCTAGGGGAGTCCTTCCCACTTGCCTCCCCGCCTCATCTCTAGTCTCATTCCACAATGCCCCAAGCCCTGACGGTCTGTCCTTTTCTTTTTCCTCCTTTCCTCAGGGACCTGTGCTGCTCTGTCCTCATGTCCCACTCAGTTGTTTAGTTCAGGCACTTTATCATTTTTCTTTCCTATCCCAGCCCCTCTCTGCTTTACTTCCCTGCTGTGTCCTGTCCTTAGCAGCTCAATCCCCACTCTTAACCAGCTCTTCCTCCCCAGCAGGCCCCAGCTAAGCTTTAGGGAGGCTCCCGTCTGGGAGGTACAGATGAAACCTGGGGTGGTGGGTCGGGTCAGTAGTTAATGCACTTGAGTCACTGTAGCCCGTGGAACCTCCACTGCACCCTTACCCTCGTTTGTCCCGGCCCGTCCCTATTCAGGATGAGAGCAGGGATCCCACAGCACATACGCCAGCGGTGTGGTAGTGAGCAGGACCTCTGTCTCCTGGGGCGAGGGACTTTCTTATCTTAGGGAGGAGTAAGGAAATCTGTTTCTCTGGGCCATGGTCCAAGTGTGGTGGGACCCCCTACTAGGGTCAGGAAATGGACAGTAACATCTGTGCAGGTGTTGACTGGAAAAATAAAGTGTTGATGGCTAGAACTGCTGCTGCCTGCCTCACTGAGCTCTGTCTCCCTCACTCTGTGCTCTGCCCCTGCTGCAGTGTCCCCTGTTTTGCTCCTGGCTGTTTATTTAGTTTGGTGCAAAACAAGGACAGAAGCAAGGATTACCCTGACAGCCGTAACCTGCCCTTAGCAGTTCTCTGTGATATGCATAGTAAGGTTTAGCATGTGCAAATAAGTATGTGCCAGGAGGAAACTGCTTTGGCTTCCCAGTCAGAAATTTGAAACCATTGTGCACCACAACAGTTGTTTTCTAGTGTTGTCCATAAGCTTAATACTTATCTTAAGAAGTCCTTACTTATCTATGTGCTGACGGTTAACTCCCTCAATCCTCATTTGTCTCTCCTGATAGAAGCAAACAAGCAGGACTTATACCTGTGTTAAAATCGATTCCAAGGGGCTTCCCTCGTGATCCAGTGGTTAAGAATCTTCCTGCCAATTCAGGGGACACTGGTTTGACCCCTAGTCTGGGAAGATCCAACATGCTGCAGGGCAACTATGCCCATGCGCCAAAACTACTGAGCCTTTGATCTTCACCTACTGAGCCCCTGCGCCACAACTGAAGCCCTCTCACCTAGAGCCTGTGCTCCACAACAAGAGAAGCCTGTGCATCACAGCTGGAGAAGAGCCTCCACTTGCCACAACTAGAGGAAGCTCGTGTGTAGCAATAAAGACCCAGTGCAGCCATCAATCAATCAATAAAATAATATTAAAAGAAAAAACTCCTGGCAGTCTGGTGGTTAAGACTATACTTCCACTAGAGGGGACGAGGGTTAGATCCATAGTCATGGAACTAAGATCCCACATGCCACAGAGCACAGTCGAAAAAGACACAAGACTGATTCCAAGTCCAGGAACATGAAAGAAACTGTCTACACTAACAATGCAACATTCCTACTTGGCACCCCTCTAGGTGACCTATACTAACTCATATTTTTCTATCAGGACCCTGAGATACGATACTGTTATTTTATAGAAGTTACCTTTCACAAAGCCACAGCCTTAGTTCACGATGGAGCCAGAATCCAAATCCAGGCAGTCTGGCTCCAGCCGTCACCCTAGAATAGGGAGCCCCTGTCTGTCAATAGGGCCCAGGTGGGAAGATGCTCAAGGATGTGGGAATGATAGAGGAGCAGTCTGCTTATCTCAGCTTCACAAAGACTGGTTGCTTAGCAGTCCTTGCTCTTTGGGGAAGAACAGCGTTCAGAGACCTGAACTGGACAGATGGCCTTTTTCATGAGTTCACAGCCTTGGCCTCCATTCAGCTGGAAGTTCGATCTGGCAATGCTGCCTGGCTCCTTGAGGTTGACTTCTGTGCTGCATCTCTTCTAAGTGTGTGAGAATTTTTCCCTTTCATGTGTTTCACATTTGCCTGAAAGGCTTTCAGGGTTTCAAGGGTCCTCCCTGTCTTGCTGTTGGAGGAATATGAGCTTGTAATCATCTAGAAATGTCTGAATAGAATGGGCAAACAGTTCTAATCATCAAACAGGCAATTGTGTTCTAACAGCTAGTAATATAATGCTGCTGCTCATAAACTTAATTTTAGGCTGTATTACTGGGAAGAATATAATACCTAAGGTGTACTGTGCACAAATTAGAATACTTCCATAGGATGCCTTGCTATACTTGTGGACAAATTGACAAATTGAAGAGTGCCCAGAAGAGAATCACCAGAAATAAGTGCTGAAAATACCATCACATGGAGCACATGGGGAATTGTGAAGGGACAGAGGATGTTTAAGCAAAGAAGGAAATGCAAAATTAAGTCACTGGCTATCAAACTTTGCTGGGTTATCTATAGGACTGCTGAGGGTAGAAAATCTTTGAGAAGAGTTTGATTAATAATCGTGTAGGCAGGTCCATTGACAGATGAATGGATAAAGAAGTTGTGGTATATACACACAATGGAATACTACTCAGTCATAAAAAGGAATGCATTTGAGTCAGTTCTAATGAGGTGGATGGATCTGGAACCTATTATAGAGTGAAGTGAATCAGAAAAGGAAAGATAAATATTCTAACACATATATACAGAATCTAGAAAAATGGTACTGAAGAATTTATTTACAGGGCAACAATGGAGAAACAGAATAGACTTATGGACATGGGAGGAGGGGAGGAGAGGGTGAGATGTATGGAGAGAGTAACATGGAAACTTACATTACCATGTGTAAAACAGATAGCCAATGGGAATTTGCTGTATGGCTCAGGAAACTCAAACAGGGGCTCTATATCAACCTATAGGGGTGGGATGGGGAGGGAGATGGGAGGGAGGTTCAATGGGAGGGGATATATGTATACCTCTGGCTGATTCATATTGAGGTTTGACAGAAAACAGCAAAATTCTGTAAAGCAATTATCCTTCAATAAAAAATTTAAAAAAAAAACCATGTAGGCAGAATTTGTTTCTCTGTTCAAGGGATATTGCAAAACAGATTTAAATGATCTTTAGAAGTACAAAGATCAAGGACAGATAGTGTAAGAATTTTCCATCATGCAAGAACAGTATATCACTATGTTATTTTGCTTTTAGTGTCTGAAGTTTCATGGACTTCCTTCTCCTAATTCCTTAAGTTTTGGTTTTTCATTGAGTCTATCCCTGGCTCACTTTTTCTTTGCACTCCGCCTGGACAGTTTCACATGTTCACCCATTTAGTTTCCACTCATATGCTGATGAATTCTAAATCTTAGCTCCTTTCCCAGAACTTTTGACTAGGCATCTCCATTTGAATGTCCCATGGGCACTTCTGCTCAACATACCAAAAACTGAACACATGCTCTTTCCCCTCACCTTCCACCCCCCGACTTCCCTACACAGATAGGCTTTTTCTATGTTTTTTATCATGCTTGTTTTCACCACTAACTCTAAAGACCTACTTCTCTCTCATCTCATACCCAGGCAATCCCGAGTTGCTGCTAAATTGATGTCCTAATTATTTCTTGATTCACTCCCCGCCACAGCCCTGATTCACACCCTCTGCATCTCAACAGTTTCTCTGCCTACACTCTTGTCTCCTACCAAAATTTATGCCCCAAAATGTGGCTAAATAATTGAAAAGTACAAATTAGATGATCTTTCTGCTGTTTAATAGTAATCAAGCCTTTCCTACAAGGTATCATTCAAGCTTCCTAATACCATTAAGAAGCCTTCTGAGATCTGCCCTGTCTTGCTCTTTACAGCACCAAACCCCCAAAAGATTATCCTTTCCTCCACTCGGCTGCACTGCCCTCCTCCACCCCTGCTCTACACTCCCACCTTTCATTCCTCCACTTACTAAACACTTGTCTTTTAAGATGTACTTCAGACCACACCCCACGTTTGAAGGTTTCCCTGATGTCCCACATCATCCCCCTATAGCAGACTGGTATAATACTTACTCAGTATACTGCAGTTTTTCCAAAGATCACATAGAATCTTCATATCAGCACAGTGTACGGCACATATAGGTGTATGTGTATGTGGATAGATAGCTCCCATGATACTTGCTGTTGACAAGATGCTTCAGTTCCTCATCATGCTAACCTCTCCCTCATCATACTAACCTGGTTGCTTGGGGGCTTCCCTGGTAGCTCAGCTGGTAAAGAATCCTCCTGCAATGCAGGAGATCCTGGTTGATTCCTGGGTTGGGAAGACCCCCTGGAGAAGGGATAGGCTACCCACTTCAGTATTCTTGCCTGAGAATCCCCATGGACAGAGGAGTCTGGCAGGCTATGTATGGTCCATGGGGTTGCAAAGAGTCAGACATGCCTGAGCGACTAAGAATAGCTCAGCACACGGTTGTTTGAGTGTCATGACAACACGATAGCTTCCTTTGCTAGAGCAAATGGTCCCGGAGAGCAAGAAGAAAGCCACAGTGCTTTTTATGACCTCAAAAGTCATGCTCTATCACTGCCATCACACTATATATATTAGAAGCAAATTACTGAGTCCAGCTCATGCTCCTTAAGGGAAAAGAAGGAAAAAATATTGTGGACTTTTTTTGGCCATGCTGATTGCAGGATCTTAGTTCCCTGACCTATGGATTGAACCTAGGTTACGGCAGTGAAAGCACTGAGTCCTAACCACTGGACTGTCAGAGAAATTCATTCCCTTGTGGACATAT